AAAGGCGTTTCAATCCATATAGTAGTTACCTACACTTCTCTCTTTGTTATATTTGAGCTCTACTCTCGCGCCAGAAAATACCCAAATTATCCATAAGAAAGCAATTTAAGAGAATATACAAGTACTATTTTAAAGTTACGTATATAAACTCCTTCCACTTTATCTATATTTATACAGAGTGTAAATGTTCTGCTGGGTAATTGCTTACTTATTACTTAGGCCTATTTATTATAAGAAAAATTTTACTTATAATTGAAGTACATATATACGTTTCTTTCTTTCCTCTTCCCCTAACAAGTCCCGTATTCTTTAGCAACGATTTTTCGTGCCACAACATATTTGCAAAAAGTGTACCAAAAATTTAAAAATCAATAACTATCGGCTCTTGGCACTTTGAACTTGGCAATTGGCCTTGAAATCTTTTCGTAAAACATTTTTGACTTGGTTTTCAAATTTTAAATTTTTTCAATATTTTAGAGAAAAAAATTGCATATCAAAATCTTATTTATGCACTTCTATGCTTATCAAATAAAATCACTTTCTTAAAACGTGATTTCGCAAACACGCAAATTCTCACATCTCTGACGCAGAATTGGATCAAAGGTCATGCTTACACGTAAGGGAAACATTTTTTTTTGTCAAGCAACTGCATAACATTTTGTTCTAATAATCAAGTTATATTAATTATTTATTTATTTTGAAACGCGTTATTAAAATAATAGATGATAAATATATTGTTGGAAATATGAGAAAGGAACTTTTGTCGACTTAAGTTGAGTAAGATATTTTTTGTCTAGTATAAATTTGGGATCTACAGTTTAATACAACATAGAGTCTTGGATAAGTTGGACTCAGGGTCTAGTAACATAAGTTGATTTAAGATATCATATTGCCACAGAAATATAATTTTGCTTAGAACTGGTTTAATGCGGAACAGATCGTTTTTTGAGACTTTCTTGAAAACTTTTTGACAAGAAATAATGATAATAAAGCCTAAAGAATTAGAGAATCGAAGACGGCTATGTTTCTATGAAATTGGTTATATTGCATATTCGATTTACAAATATCCATATATTTCATTTGAAAAATTAGCTAATGCGTGTAACACCATTAAATTTTAGAAAAAATGAAAAAATTTAAAAATCTATTACTTTGGACCAAACACCAAGACCTCTTATTCTACAAAACGAAACAAATCTTAGCTTATATACTTACATATGTATAGTGTGTTTTGTTGTTTTATATAGATAGAATTTTAAAGAGCGTCATACTAACTGCTAACATCAACAGATGTGAATTTACATCAAAAATTTAGTTCGTACAAAATATTTTATTTGTGTTCCTTGAGGCAAAAAAATTTTAACGTTCGAAACAAGTACTTTCAAACATTTGCGTAGTATAAGTAGTTCATTATAAAGGTAACTAGCTGGCCTTTGTCAGCTTTCCAATGAGATATACGTTTTTTACAAACAAAATATACATTTTTATAAACAAATAATTTTTTTTCAATATGGAACTATTTTTTATTAACACGCTTTTATTAACTTGGGTTTTATGTATGTAATGGAATCTGAGAGCTCAATTTTTAGTGGTTTCAGGAAGTCTGATCAACTTGAAACTTTGCACACGTGTCAAGGACTGATGACAATACAATAATTTGGACAAGTGGGATGGTTTGAAATATATTTTTCGTATATCGAGCACATCACACTTTTCCCACAATAATACAAGTATTTTTCGGTTAATATTTCTATCAGTTTATATAAGGAATTATTTTTCACTTTTCAGTTTGAATATTTCGCTCATTTTTACACGGTCGGAAGAAGTGCCGAAAAGATTTGGACTGAGCATGTTTGGTTCATATAGCTTTAGTGGTTGGCGAAACATGTACATTTAATTTACTAGTGGGCGGAGCAACGCCCACATTTCAACACCTTGCAAACCACTGATGCCCTTACCTACTGTGATTCGCTATACTAAATTACATTTTCGTATCTTAATTTCCGGCTTAGTTATGACACTTTATAAGTTTTCGATTAATGGCGTTTTATGGGCATGGCAGTGGTCCAATTACGCCCATTTACATAACTGACTGTGTTAAGAAGAAAAGGAACACGTGTGTTTTTATCCAGATATCTAAACTTTTACTGAAGTTATCGCTTGCACGCACGGACAACTCGTCTCGTCATCCTAATCAACTACAGTTTGTTTGAAAAGTTTCTGCGCTCGGAATGAAAAAAATACTGTTTTTGGTACGAAATACCTATAATATATATTTTTTTATTCAATATAATCTCCTGTAAGTTCAATACACTTATTCCACTGATCCTCCAATAATTTTATGTCATCCCTATAATGACTTTCCGGAATCTCTGCGAAATAGCCGTCTACGGGTGTAATAGCTTCTTCATTCGACGAAAAACGCTTTCCACGAAGGAATTGTTTCAGGTTTCTGAAAAGCTAGTAGTCGCTGGGAGCCAAATCTGTTGAATAAGCAATTCGTACTTTAATTCGTTGAATGTTTTCATTGTTAAAACATCTTTGTGAGCAGGTGCATTGTCTTGATGAAAAAATATTTTTTGTGCTCCACCTGATCAAAATGGCTGCAATAATATTCAGAGTTGATTGCTTTACCTTTCTGCATATAATCAATCCACAAAATTCCATTTGCATCCCAAAAAACTGATGCCATAACCTTCTTTGCTAATCGTTGTGACTTCACCTGCTTTGGGGCTGAACAACCAGCTTCAGTCCACTGTAAACGTTCTTGTTTCAATTTAGGATCATGGTGGTAGATCCAAGTCTCATCCATAGTTATAAAACGACGGATGAAATCGGTTTTATTCTGCTTAAAACGCTCCAAATTATGCTGAGAGATTTGTTTTCGATCTAGTTTTTGTTGAATTGTTAACGTGTGTGGCTCTCACTTTTCAAACAGCTTTTTCATATTTAATTCTCCATCCTCGTTCGTCTGAGATGCCCATAGCATCAGCAATTTCACGCTTAGTCAAATTTGGATCTTCACTAACAATATTATGAACTTGCTCAATGATTTCTGGTGTGGTTGCGGTTATTGGTCGTCCTTCGCGTGGATCGTCTTCATGCCTAGTATGACAACGTTTAAATTAACCAGCCCAAAATTTAACGGTGCGTTTTAAAGGTGAGGACTCCTTATACACTTCTAAACCTTTCAAAACAAAGAGTCTAATCACTACGCGATATTAAATTTTTTTCATATTAAAAAAAATACGCCGACATGTCAACTTCAAATGGCTTGTAAACAAAGTATTAATTGATAGAATGACTTGTAACTATGCATGTGTTCTCACGACAGATATACCAGCTTGAGAAAAAATAAATAAAATTTGTAACTAGTAGTGATATTTCTTGGTAAGAACAGAGACTTCACAACCAACCTGTATACAAGTATATCTATATCTACCTCGATTACTTTTAGGTGTTACAAACAACAGTTAGAGAGAACGAGAGAATAGAAAAAAATGTAATCATAAAATTTCCTTTTTTAGTTTTGCAGCTTCAGATTTTTCACTGATTTATCAGACGAAGAAGAAACGTTTTTTAGTGTACTTAGTTGTATAAACATACAACTCATACATAAATCGTTTTTTTACTGGTACTGGTCTGGTTTTTTTCGAACTAGTTCATTTTAATTAATTTTAATTTTTTTTCTTTTAAATTTGATACATAATTTCAAACATTTTATAATATGTTTATCTGTATATTATACATACATCTACACACCCTAACAGCTGAAATATAGTCTATAATTTTACCTGCGACTACATACATACATATGTATGTACGTCAGTCTTATCGCGCATATATAATTTTATTTCTAATTACATTTTCAATTTGCCCTACATTCAATTGACGTCGAAATTGGCAAAATTATTCAGACATACAAACATACATTGTATAAAGCGGCAGTGTATTTGTATATTAGAAATTGGTAGATAACGTCTAGGCATAATTTCCAAGTTCAAGTTGAAAAGCACGCACACACATACTGTTCATTTGTTTATATTTCTAGTCGCGGGCGTGTGTGCTTGCGCGTGCGAATTTCAGTGGCAGCGAAAAAATTCGTTCTACATTCGGTCCTTGACAATGAATTTGGAATTGTCAAACAAACAAACGTGCAAACAAAAAATGATCAGCACAAATAGGTTAGTAGGTGTGGATATGCTTGAGATTTCTAATAGTCGTATTTATTATTGTATTTTTATACTCTCGCATCGTGTTTCTACAGAGTATAATAGTTCTGTTCAGCTAACGGTTGTTTGTATCACCTAAAACTAATCGAGTTAGATACAGGGTTATGTATATAAATGATCAGAATGAAGATTAAAAAAAAAATTAAAAATTATCTAAATTGAACCAAAACTGTTCAAGCGCCTAGGTAATGAATATGTGGACCCCAGTGCCTATAGTTGATTTATTACCGAAAATATCGGCCAATCCACAAAGAAATTTCAAGCGAGTATACCATTTGACTTTGCGAGAGTATAAAATGTTCGGTTACATCCGAACTTAGACCTGCCTTACTTGTTAATTTTTTTAATAAATTTTTTTGTCTTGAGATGTTTGTAGAGGTGGCAACTTTCTTGTTTTTACTATTGAACTATTGAAAAAATAATAAAAATAGGTTTACCACTCATTTTTTATAATATTAAGACCAATTTCTCATAAAATCATAAAAGTTGAAATCCTAAATAAAGTTAATACATTTTTGATCTAATTATTTAATTTAGTCAATTATTAAATTTCGTTTCGTATAAATGACTTACGAATTATATTAATTAAGTTGCTCTTTGGAACTAATCAATATTCTGTGTTTGTAATGTGTATGCTGAATTTAGCTGTGAGTTTCTTAAGACCTTGGCACTAATATCTTCGTATTTATTTTCATTAATAATTTCTATAATATAATCATTACTAAATATAATTTAAAATTTATTATATTCTCTTCATTCTCTTTAAAGGTCTGCAAATATTGGAATGTATTGGCCTTGGATGGATCTAGTTGGCAGAAAATCAATTTATTTGATTTTCAACGGGACATCGAGGTGAGTAAATATCGTGTAGAAACTTCAATTTTAACCTAAAAATGAAATTAATTATAATTATACTTTACAGGGTCCAGTTATTGAAAATATATCCCAACGATGTGGTGGCTTTTTGAAATTCCTTTCATTGCGCGGCTGTCAATCAGTTGTTGATAAATCGATAAGGTAATGAAAATAGCGTAATTTTGTAAAAAAAAAAATTATGGAAATGTCACTTGTCACACAATTTTTTAAACTAACTTTTGTAAGATTGAATATAAAAAATATGAAATATACCGCAAATCGTAAAGAGTTATAATATTTACTATCGCTACGCTACAATGTGTTTTAGCTCAAAGAGATTAATCAAGTAAACCCGGGTAGATGATTTTTGAAAGCGACAAAATCATAGTAACATTGCAAAAAAGTAATAACAGAAATGAAGGAAAAATTATTTACGGGCGTTGTGAGGTCGGGAAGAGGAAAGGGAGGGGCGAAGTTGAATTTCTAAGAGTTAAAAACGGTTTATCTCGATTTTCGGGAGAATTACGAGTTCTATAAAAAAAAGTTATGTGGTGTAGTTATAGTTTTATATCAACACCTTTTGGACATAAACTAAAAATTTATGTGAAAAATTCAAATTTCCAAGTTTTTGGGATTTTTATATTTATCTTGTACAAAAAAATGTTTCATCCACAAAATTTACCTTCTTTCGTTTAAAACACACTATTTTTTTTTTTTTCCATTTGTTGCCAAACTTTTATTTATTTTTATTATTTTTTTCCTTTATATTTAGTTTTTTTTAATTTTTTTTTTTTTTTCATCATATTATCTTCTACTAACATTTACTAATCCATTTTTTTTATACTCTTACAGAACATTAGCATTTCACTGCCCCAACATAGAAAACTTGGACTTATCCGAATGTAAGAAGATCACCGATATATCGACACAGTCAATAAGCAAAAACTGTGTAAGATTAGCAGCAATCAATTTGCAATCGTGCTCTAATATAACCGATGATAGTTTAAAATATATATCGGATGGTTGTCCGGTAAGTATTTGACCAAATGAAATTTTGAAAACCTTATTAAGTGAGCTCAAAAACTGTCTCGACAACAATAATTAATCATATATATCTTCATTTAAAAGATTAGAGTGGTTTGATAATTTCGGTGAGAGTCACTAAATTGTTGCGAAGGCTAATCAGTATTGTTTGAGTATATATACCGAATGTCCAAGGTTAGGTTAAGAGGTCGATTCTAACCGGAATCTCAGTTAAACAGCCTAGAACTCTAGATATAATTGATCATAACACTCACAAATCGACAAAGCGCATTGAGCCTCTCACAAATTTGTTGAGACAGCTAATGTCAGTTTAGGATGTCTCCTGCTTCGCCGAAGGTAAGACTGCCAATATGTTTCAACCTCAGGCTGGACAATGGAGGAGAAAGTGCCTGCACCTCACTCTCCTCCATACAACTTTGACAAGTTGAGTCCGGCGGTTTGAGAGCCAAATTAAATATTACCATATATAATATATTTGAGCCGAGAGATTTTTGGTGTAAATATGTGTGTTCTCTATGTTTGTCCGCAATGTTATTGTTATTGTAGCGGCATACGAAAGATTCTAAACTATTTTGGGAAATGCAACCGAGCTGACAGTCTTTGATCTGATATAAATTTGAGTCCGTTCCGATTATGCCGTTGTCATTGCAATGATTATATAAACCGTGTTATGGAGGCTAATTAACGTCATCAACATCATCTACCGATAGATCAATGAACTGAGTTGTAATCTCAGTATTGTTCCAAAGGTTTAGATTGGAGTTCATGAGGCAAATTTTGTGGCATACTTCATAGAATTCAAACTGTATGCAGTTGAGTATATATATAATAAAATGTCGTAAAAACAGCCTTTTATGAAAACTTCTGTGGGTTGTACGTTATTTTTATAATGCGCCAAATTGTAGGCAACGTTTATGTAAATTAGGGCATGCTTACATTTATTTAGTATTTAACACTGTGAAATGATGTATGAGCTACATATAAAGTATTTTTATCCTCATAATATATGCTATAGATTCAGCAGCAGTAATCTTATGTGCTAATATATTCATAACCGAGGTTATGCTTCATTAAATTTTTCTCGTAGAAAAAAGTGAGATTTATCATATTTTTCGTTTCTATTTTATATATTCTAAAAAGCTTATATAGAAACATATCTTATGTGCCTTTTATCAGATTTTATTTCGGAGACCTTTCATTCATAATGTTTATATATATATATATATATATACACAAGTACCTACATATATGAGTTCGCTTTGCCTCTTATTTTCCGACATTCATTGATTAAACAATTAAATTTCGTGGCCCAAGTGTGAGATTCAAGCAACTCTCCCAGTGTTTTCTTTTTTAAATGTTGCGCTCTCTCTCTTTGCCTCTGCTAAATTTACAGTTTCAAGAACCTAATAATTTTAGTATTTTCATTCAATGAGCACTTTAAACTCTCCCACACCAAACCACGTTTCCTTAAGCACTGCTAAAATTGGATGTCAAGTAGCGTATATTTTACAATAACATCAAGCGGCCGCATTTCAGCAAGTGCTGTGAAATTCCTTACTCTTGTTTGTAAGGGTATTTAAAGAGCGTGCACTGTTAGGCCTACTAATCCGAAAATCTCATTTTTCTGTGCCAAATTATTCACTTTTCACAATCGCACTCTCAGGAACATAAATTTGGTGCTCTTCTTCCTTTATGCACTCTCGCGAAAACCTGCGCTCCACACAGTTCTCTCTGTTTATGTACAAATTTGCTTGCATGTCCTTGCCCATTCAGTTTCGTAATAAACAAATAAATTCAGGCCAAGAATATTGCACACATACATACAAGCGAATGCTCATTCATTTAAAGTTTTTTCGCCACTTTTAACCTCCACACATTAGTGCTTGGCATGCATACATACACACACTCATACATACTACTATGTGTATGGTATATATATATGCCTATACATGGTTATTTATTTGGTTATTTCACACTGTCAGCAGTGCCACAGGCGTTGTAGGCATTTCTCTAAAATGCACACAAGAATTCGCACACACACAGACACATTCACGTACATACATAAATATTCATCTATGTTGCTACATAGCTCTGTATTTCGCATTCTCAGACATTTAACATGCCACCGTACGCATACATATAAAATTTTTGGCCTACTTTAAGGCGCTTTAGCTATTTTTATTTTTGCAACCCCACACTCAGCTGCTGCAGCTTCGCTTTTTGGACTTACATTTAGCTACATATGTATATGCGTGCGTTTTGTTTTTGTTTTTGTATGTTGCTATTTTTGTTGCATTCTTCTGCCTACGCCTTTCACGCAGTGAGTTCATGCCATGTTGCGGCATGTGTCGTCTAAATATATACAAGTGTAAATATTTACATACTTGCATTTGTATGGGGGTTGCATATTTTAGAATTTTGCTCACTGTTAGTGTTGGTGTAACTTGTGGGGTTTTTAAATTGTTCTCAAAGTATATAATAATTTTTGAATTTTTTGGCTTACTGTTTGCACCCGCTTTCTAGATTTGGTTGGTTTGCTTTAGCTTAAATTATGTCAGCTTCTGCGTATGTGTGAGTGTGAAATTAGCGAAAAAATGTTGAATGAGGTCGGCAATGGTCGTGCCCTAAATTATACAATATATATATATTTTTTTCGTTATTATAGATGGAAAAATTTTTGATTAATTTGCTAACAATTTAATTATTCGAGTTTTACTCAAATATTAAATATTTATTGTTGTTAAAATTTTTGTTTTAATAATTATTTTTTTATATTATATTTATTATAATTTTTTTACTTTCTATTTTTTTTTATCTGTGCAAGAAAAAATAGCTTCGTTAACTTTTATTTTACATCTATTGTGTTTGTTTGTTTGTTGTGTTCATCATGTGTCATTCTGCCAATTAATTCTTTGTTTACAAGCCATTTGAAATTGACGTGTCAGCGTATTTTTTTTAATATGGAAAAAATTTAATATCGCGCAGTGATTAGACTCTTTGTTTTGAAAGGTTTAAAAGTGTATAAGAAATTCTCACCTTTAAAACGCACCGTTAAATTTTGGGCTGGTGAATTTAAACGTGGCTTGAAGACGATCCACGCGAAGGACGACCAAGAACCGCAACCAAACCAGAAATCATTGAACAAGTTTATAATATTGTTAGTGAAGATCCAAGTTTAACTAAGCGTAAAATTGCTGATGCCATGGGCATCTCAGACGAACGAGTACTTCATATTGTACATGGAGAATAACATATGAAAAAGCTGTTTGAAAAGTGAGAGCCACACACGTTAACAATTCAACAAAAACTGGATCGAAAACAAATTTATCAGTATAATTTGGAGCATTTTAAGCAGAAAAAAACCGATTTCATCCGTCGTTTTATAACTAAGGATGAGACTTGGATCTACCACCATGATCCTAAATTCAAATAAGAACGTTTACAGTGGATTGAAGCTGGTTGTTCAGCCCCAAAGCAGGTGAAGTCACAATGGTTAGCAAAGAAGGCTATGGCATCAGTTTTTTGGGATGCAAATGGACTTTGTGGATTGATTATATGTAGAAAGGTAAAGCAATCAACTCTGAATACTATTGCAGCCATTTTGATCAGGTGGAGCACAAAATATATTTTTTCATCAAAACAATGCACCTGCTCACAAAGATGTTTTAACAATGAAAAAATTCAACGAATTAAAGTACGAATTGCTTGAGCATCCACCTTATTCAACAGATTTGGCTCCCAGCGACTACTAGCTTTTCAGATATGTGAAACAATTCCTTCGTGGAAAGCGTTTTTCGTCGAATGAAGAAGCTATTACAGCCGTAGACGGCTATTTTGCAGAGATTTCGGAAAGTCATTATAGAGATGGCATAAAATTATTGGAGGATCATTGGAATAAGTGTATTGAACTTACAGGAGATTATGTTGAATAAAAAAATATATTATATTTCGTACCAAAAACAGAAACGCAGAAACTTTTCAACCAACCTGTATATGATGTATTCGTGCGATTTGCCAAAAGGTGGCGTAACTTAATTAATTTTCCAATGTTCTGCGTTGGAAAGCTTCTATTCTTGTGGATCTTTTTCAGTATATGCCATTCATTAGAAGCGTAAACAATAATAATTTTTTTCCCCTATGCGAGGCAATAATTTTCCATCATGACAATTGCTTCATATTGAGAGACCGGCTAAAAACTTTTTGAAAAACAGTGGCGGAGAAGTTGGAAGTTATTGCCTATACCTTGCCCCTTCTGACTACCAATTGTTCCGTTCAATGCAGACCCCCTCACTGGAATACGGTTCACATCACAACAGGTTGTAAAAATAGTTCTTTTGGGGTGAAATCCACGAATTGCAGGAGCCGCTCCACCGATTTTAATCAAATTCGGTAGGTGGCATTATACCTTACATTCTTATGCGGACTACAACTACGCTTACGTAATATGGAAAAAACAATTTTAAATTCCATCTGATTCTTTCACTTTCCAGTATACAAATAAATGTAGCGGGATAAAACTTTGCACGAGTACTGGTTTTGAAGTGTGCCAGCTTATGCCCAAAAAATATTTAAATCGAAACAAATTTGCGAATATCTGTCCGTCTGTGGGATATATTATAGAAACTGAAAGGGAGTCTTTATCTGCCATCAATGTGCCCGTGTGCCAAAAATGGGTTGAATCAGATCAATAATTCCCTAAGTCCCCATATACCTAATAGAAAAAGATTATCAAACTTCTGATTGACCTTATACCGTATATATCGGTCAATATGTAAGATATCTTAACAAAACTAACTGAACTGATAATATTGGACATACTATAGTATAATGCTGAAAATATGTGATATTGGTCTACGAATTACCCAAACCCTCATACACCACATATAATGATTTTCGTTATTCTAACAAATCCAATGCTCAATATATCGGTCAGTGTATGAGTTATATATTTATAAAATTAATTAATTGATGGAATTTCACCGGATTTGATCCTTGCAAGTTGCAAGAGTATGTAATGTTCGGTTACATCCGAACTTAGGCCTTCCTTGCTTGTTTTTATTTTAGCTATTTCTGTTGACTTTTCTATATCTTTTCAGAATTATTTTTATTTTTTTTTTAATCAAGCGAATTTGAATAAATTTGTTTTTTATTAGTGTATATATAATTTGGAGAAATCGCATATACACAATACTCATGTATACATGATATTTGCTTCAATATTTGATTTAAGCACTATCCAATGACCTTGCTAATGCAACCATGCTACCAAAGCGGTTTGTATGTAGTTCAAGTGTTTTACGAAGCGCATACGTACATACATGCATACATATATAATATAATACGAGTTTGTAAATGTATATGAGTGGTATATAACACTGTTCTCATTGCATTGGCCCACTTTTGAGATATAGTATTGTACATAGATGGATACAGCCATACATACGTCTGTTGGTTATATACGTTTATTTAGTTCAACAATAAGGGCGCAAAAAAATAGAATGTAGATCTATATAAACATATAGAAGTAAAATATAGAAATACATAAGTATATACATACATATATAAACATGTAATGTTGATATAAAGATTATTTGCATATTAATACTATTGACAAATAAAAAAAGTTCGGAAAATCATATAATATTGTATTATACTAACACACATGTATGTAAGGTAGTTAGATTATTTTTTTTTTTTTGCAATTTAGACTTAAAAATATTCAATATGCAGTAATTTATTTCTTCGGATAATAATAATAAAATTATGATCAACCGTTCAGTTTTTACTTAACTTACAAATGGTGATTAACATTTCGTCAAAAGATTTCTGAAGAGATCGCAAACATACATGGTAAACCTATTTGTAGAAATATCGTATTTAAACCCTAGTTAAGTGAATATTTCAGCTGACATTAGACTCACAATCAACCAATTGCCTAAAACTAGGCAATGGTTTTTTTTTCTCTCATCCATTTTCAACTTCTTCAACATTCCAACAATTCGTTCTTATTTCTTTTATGTTTCCCACTTTAGCGCATACTGCTATGTATACTTATTCCTCTAGCCATCAATGAATATACATATGCACTTTATAATGCAATCAACTCGAGTTACATTCTGTAGTTCTTGGCATTGCAGTAGGCTGTGTCATAAGACAAGGGGCACACAAAGAGGAGCTAACATTTCGGAACAGTGCCATTTCAATGTCCTTCGCGCAAGCTGGTTGGGCACATAATCTGTACATAAGCACATATACATACATATGTACATAGACATATACAAATGTGTGCGTGGATGTATAACTGAATGGCAGCATCCATTGGTTTATATATAGTTGCCCCACATTTTTGGGTCCCATGGTCCCGTGATGTATATACATAAGTGTCATTTATGTCATATAGTTTTCTTCACATATAAGTATCTCTATATACATATAGTATGTATGTTTAGTTGGGTGCTTCTTGGTTATGAAAATATTTTCACTTTCATGATGGAATACATACAAACGTTTATAAATATAAATGTGTGCATTCATTCCTTTGTATGGTTGTATAATTTCCTTCCTCCTTTTATCGTGCTTTCTTTTATATAATTTTCCGCCTTTTTCTTTTGCAAATGCTTTCTATTGTACGTAATTGCCTTGCATATCAACAGTTGTTGCTATTCTTGGATATTTTGTTATTGTTTTTGTTATTATTATTACAATGTATACATACGTACATGTGCATAGTCTGCCCGCTGCATGGCAATCTTCCTCTTCTTCGTCCACTGTCGCTTTCACCTACTTTCCCTTCGTTGGCTGCAGAGCGTTCAAGGCCAACAGGCTAAGCGACCATTCTTCGCGTCGAACCATCAAGCAACTAAACAAATGCATTCCATTGCTCCCACTCGTGGTGACAACAGGGATGCGGTTGGCGTGGGAAAAGGGAAGTGAATAGCTGACAGCGTTATTGGCGACCAGCTCAATTGGTTTTTCGATATCCGCGCGTGTTTTGTAAATACCCTGGCTTGTAGTGAAGTAGACATGCATTTGTTGGGATCAATAATGGACTTTACTGCATTTATACGCAATTGTGTTGCCGCTGGTCAACAATTTCCTCGTATTGCATTTAATTGTCACGCTCTTTTTCCTTTAACTTGCTGCAAACTGTAACTGTGTGAAAACAGCTGACTTCCGTTATGGTGTTTTGTTGCTTACTGGAGCGATTTAGCAGAATCATTGCATACTTTTGGGTGTGCGATTTTGAAAAACAAAAATGATGAATGAAGGAAGAACTTTCCGCGTAGTGTCGGCACTAATGCTTATATTAAATGAGATAACAAAAAATCATTAAAAATATATTTAAAATCACAATTTAATCGATTCCAAGTACTAAACCCGTTTCTCTGTGAACAGAGCAATGATTATAAATATAAAATAATGAAGCCTATCGAGACGTCTCGATATCAAATGTTTTTACTCAGAAAAAATATCGAACTTTCGATACTACGAAGCATAAAAATAAAAATATAGATATTTTATATCGGCAATCGTATCAACTCTTGCAGCTGAATATTATTTTTTTTGTTAGACAGTCTGATTATACTTATTATTATTATGCTTCTAATGTTAGGTCTCGTAGAATTTCTAAATGATCTGATCTGCACATTACCAAGATGTTTTTTTTATTGATAGGGCTCCCTTAACGCAGCATCTAACTTAAAAATTTAAATCGAAATTCCAGTCGTAAGGCAAAAATCAGAGCTCGCAAGATATTTTCGACGATTATTTCAAGTTTTAACTGTTGGGGTCAGGTCAGAAGTCAGAAGTCAGAACCCCATAGATGGAGACTTCAAAAATTTAGATTTTTAGAAAGAAAAATATTAGAAAAGCACGAAAGATCATTTTAATTCACTTTGAATATCGCTTAGAACAGGAGTGTTACTCCGATATTTTTGAAGTTCACAGAATACTAATTTATTTTAAAGCTTTTTCAATAATTTCATACACATATTTGAATAAAAATGCTAGCAATCCTCATAAGCTCCGTAAATGTTCACGTTATTAATTCGATCAATTTTTGCAGAACTTACTTGAAATCAACATTTCATGGTGTCATTTAATCTCAGAGAATGGCGTTGAGGCCTTGGCGCGCGGCTGCAAAAAGCTGCGCAAATTCTGCAGCAAAGGTTGTAAACAAGTCAACGACAATGCCATCACCTGCCTGGCTAAATTCTGTCACGACCTAATGGTGCTCAATTTACACAGCTGTGAGGTATATAGCAATACACTAGCAATAACAATACATGTACATGTACATCAAAGTACAATAAATTTCTGTTTTCTCTTCACAGACCGTCACCGATGCCTCGATACGACAGATCGCCGCCAATTGTCCTAAATTGCAAAAGCTGTGCGTTTCGAAATGCGTCGAACTCTCCGATCTCTCGCTAATGGCTCTCTCACAGAATAATCCATTGCTGAATACGCTTGAAGCATCTGGCTGTCGTAATTTCACCGATATCGGTTTTCAGGCCTTGGGCAAGAATTGCAAATATTTGGAACGCATGGACTTAGAGGAGTGCAATCAGATAACCGATTTGACGCTGGCGCATTTGGCAACTGGTTGTCCCAGTTTAGAAAAACTGGTAGGTATGCGTTGGAATGGCGCTTTTTCTGAATATTTTCAATATAAATACACTTATATTTGCGGTTTTTATTATTGCACAGACTTTGTCGCATTGTGAGCTTATCACTGACGATGGAATACGTCAGCTGGCGGCGGGTAGTTGTGCAGCTGAGAGTTTATCCGTCCTCGAATTGGATAATTGTCCATTAATCACCGATCGTACATTAGAGCATTTAGTATCTTGTCACAATTTACAAAGAATCGAGCTATTCGACTGCCAAATGATATCGAGAGCAGCAATACGAAAATTAAAGGTAGGTACGAGTACAAAAATCGAATTTGAAATTCATGTGAGTATTATGGATGTATATTTCATGCGGAATAACCAAATATTTTAATGTCCGGAAACTTTAGCGATGTTTGTTCTAGTTTGTTTGTTTCCGACGCGAAAAGTTTTTCCGGCGATTTTTACCATGAAAAAAAAAAACAATTGAATTCCAATGGAATCACGACTAGACAAACTTTGAAAATGTTGCAGTTTTGAGTACACTACTTTATCACTAAGTATTAGAGTGGTACAAAGTATTCAGTGAAGGTCATGAAGTCATCAAAAACTTTTCTTATACAAGACGTCCATCAACCTCTGTTAATAAAGATAACATCTCAAAAGTGAAATAGTGCTTGAAAATCATCGTGTTGGCATCAGAGAGATAGCAGAGGAACCCAAGATCTCTTTTGAAATGACTCTACACATTTTGGTTAATGTTTTGGGTATGAAGCGTGTCAATGCACGACTCGTACCAAAATATCTGAATGCGCCGTCACATTCTAACATGATTATGACTGTACCTCTTAGCTAAACTCGAAACTAGAGTTATCGCTGTCACCGCATTCGCCTGATTTGGCTCCCTGCGATTTTTTTTCTGTTTCAATAATTATAATTTTCAATACAAATTCAAGCGAAGTATAATTCAATGCGAGCTAAGCCAGTCGCCCAAAGTATTAGGCAACTTGTCGCAGGCCCAGGATGGCCGAAAAAATTATTCTATCGAACAATCAATATATTCCTTTCACAGCAATAATAATATAACGAAGGTAGAATCGAACAATCAATATATTCCTTTCACAGCAATAATAATATAACGAAGGTAGAAGCATCTATAGTAATTTTACTTTCCTGCTTTTGTTTCATACTCATTACTTGTATTGATCTTGTATATAAATAATACCGTTACGAGACAATTCGCCTTACACGTCCCATGAATAATGGCCCCTGTTTTTATGTTATAAAAAATGCACATTTGAAGGGTACTATAGCTTCGGTGCAGCCGAAGTTAGCATTATTCTCTTTTTTTTTTTAATTATTTCAACCACAACAATGTTTAGTTTTAAGCGACAAGAAACAAAAAATATATTTTTCCCAAAAACAAGTCAATATACCCTTTGTCCTCGCCGTTACTGAGAATTGAAATCAAAAAATATTCTCTTATTATTGCAAAGGATTAAAATTCGCCCCAAATAGCTGCAGCTACTGTGGCGCTCTATAGAAGAAAATATAAGAATCATTATGTTTCTATACCTATATAGACCCTTCGTCCACGCACAACTTCTAATTTAATATAATTAATTTTAATTAATTTTGTTGTTGTAATTTTTTTCAGAATCATCTACCAAATATTAAGGTACACGCCTATTTTGCACCAGTTACACCGCCACCAGTTACCACTGGACATCGCCCACGGTATTGTCGCTGTTGTGAGATTCTCTGAGATTCGGCCATCGGCTTCGCCAGGAAATTCTTGTGCAAGGGCCCTACTGACTGATGTTTGTATATATTTACTAGTACATTTCTAATTGTTTTGACGATCATTATGACATCGCTAACACTCATGTATCTCTTCTCGATGATTTACTATGTTTTTTGAAAAATAACCAAAAACAACAAAATGACAACATGTATATGTAATGATAACAACAACAACAACTACAATTATAATATTATATCAAATAACCGGAGCAAAATTGCACGAAAATTTTATGTACATACATAACTACTTATGAGAGAGAAATTCTTAATCCCAGACAAATTTAAATATTTTGTGCAAAGAAAAAAAGCAAAAGAACGAATGCTAAAATATATATGTATATGTGAAATAAAATAAAAATATTGTGAACAGAACGTACTAAACGAAAAATAAGCAAGGCTTGCAAAAATATATTTGATTTTAAGAAGAAGCTGTTAAGGCACGACATACATACACACACATATACATATTTACATACATTAGAAGTGACAAAAGATTTTTTAACGAAATTCTAAAATCAAAATAAAAAATGCACAAAGCGAAATTAAACAAAATCAAGACTAAACGTTTAAAGCGAACAAAAAAAAAAAAAATATTAAATAACATATGTACATATGTATTTAATTGATTGACATTTTAGGAGGATATAACACTTAAGTTGACAAGCAAAAACCAGAAGAAAATTATTAAAATTATTACAAAGGCTTTTTTGCGTATAACGCTTGGCAATTACTATTTTCACACACATACATATATACACACATATTTATTGTCAATATTTTTTCGCAGACGGAATTTCGAGTATTAGGACAAGAAGCAATATACAGTTGTACATATAGAACGTCCGAAAGGAGTAATGAGAAGATATATAAGAGACGGCTGGAGTTTGGTGAGGTGTAGGAAAATTGTTTTGTGATTTTATGCGTTTTTACCTGTAATTATACACACACACAGATAATGAAATTTACAATTTGTGTTTTTGTTGTTGTTTCTCTATGTAAATTTTTAGTTTTTAGTTTTTTCGTTACATGTTTTAGTCGAAAGCGAGATTTTATATATACACACACATTCATACATACATACATACTACACATACGGTAATATTTTATTTTTTATACATACGAAAATTGCAAAAAATGCACATACATACATAAAAAATATACAAAAAGTATATAGTAATACATAAAAGCATATAAAAAATTTTAACGGCGCTTCTCACGTCGGATCATAAATATGTAAATAACAAATTAAAAATCACTTACATGAAGTTGTACATACAAACATAAGTATGCGTATGGATGCATGGCGTTGCGCACGCTGCACCGAGAGTCAAAAACGTTTTCGCAATTAAGTGGGTGGAACACTCCATACATACATACGTACTGCTTTGTATTGCGTTAAGATTTTATATAACGTTGCATACATTTATGGTAGGTTGAAAGAAGTTTGGAAATCACGCATTTTTGAGACAGATGCGTAGATATGTAATGGATCACAACTTGTTTGCTGCTAGAAATTTTATATTAACGCTAAAAAAGTTTTTTTTTTGTTTTTTGTATGAATCATACAAAAAAATTTTATACATTTTTAAAATTTTTTTTTTAATTCCTTTTTTAATATTTTTTTTCCTTTTAAACACTTTATAATTTTAAAAAATATTACGTATTATGTTGAGGCATTATAAATCTTCAATTTAATTGATTTAATTTAATTTTTCAACTTAAAATGATTAGAAACGCAAAAAAGTGCTGACTTTAATCTTTGTAAAATCGTTGTAACCAGCTAATGTTGTAGAATTCACTCATATAATCTTATCTTCAAAGCTACTAAGTAGATAAGTATTTTTAAAAAATTTAAAATCTCGAAATTTCCTTAGTAAATGAGAAAAAATTGACAATTTATTTAAGTAGTTGAAAAATTTCGTACAGTTAATAATATATAGAAGGAAAAAATTTAGAGAAATACCTATGAATCTTTTGGAGGAAGGTGAAGTGTACTATAGTTCAAGATCATAGATTAATACAGGTTAATCTTCAAGTTTTATTAAAATTATTGATTTATATTTCTATTTTATTATAAGGTGTAGTTAGACACACGAAAAAATTACAATTTTAAATAGTTTTGTTTGCTAGTATAAAGTTTATAAAAGTAAAAACATAACATCATTAAATAAGGTTTCGACTTGAATTAACAGAAATTAAAAACATTAAAATTCATAATATGAAAAGTAATGGCTGTTTGTGTTAATCCAGCTGCAACCGACCATGATAATTACTAATTTTTGAAGATTCATCGATAATTAATCGGACAAAAAAATAATTGCTTTTTTAATATATAACCTGGTGCCTGACCGAAGCTTTTTTTCAAGCAACAAATTAAAAAAATGCAAAATTCATTTTTTTTTAATTCTAACTACACCTAACCCCATTAAGGAAACAATAATTTTATTATAAAATATAATTTCAAAGTTTAAATTTTATCGTACAATTTTTTAATCAATATTATTTTTTTGTAAATCAAAATTCTTTTTTTTTAATCAAAACTCATTTTTTAAATCAAAATTCTTTTTTGTTTTTGATTAATTTTATTTAATTTTTAAAGTGTTCAAAATTCGTTCAGGAAATTGTTTCTGCTTAGTTTAATTGCTAGAACTTCGCACTCTTCGTTTATTCAAACTTTTGTGCAAATTGTACCGCGCTTGCATAAGTAGTAGTAATAACAATAATAATTAATCACGTATTTTATTATGAGTAAAGTCAGCACTTTTCGAAGTACAGTTATTTGGATTTTTAAAGATTATAAATATAATACGTGTACATATGTGTAAAATATTTTGAATTCGGGAAATTTTTTTTTTTTTTAAACAATAATTTAAGCCTCAAACTTACGCACTACACACTCATTTCTACATATAAATATAGGCATAACAAATCTTGTCAAATGTCATATTCGTAAATTTACTTACATACATACATTTATATGTATTAGATTTATATTTTAACAATTGGCAGGCGAGCAACGAAAAGTGATTATTAAAAAGAAATTATGTGATAAATTTATATAAAGAATACGTTCTTAATAATTGTTTTTCAATATTTTATATAAATTTCTAAAACAAAACAAAAAACAAAGCAAACACTTTACAAAGCTGCTTCAATTATAATTTGCAGCAACAAAAGCCTTTGGAAAAATGTAAAATATATTTTTTCGAAAAAAAAACACCGCGATACACAGCAAAAAATATGTTGTTGTAAGTAACAACCGAAAAACTAAGGCTCTCTGCAAAAAGAGGAAGCAAATAAAATACAGCAAATACAATACAATAGAACTACAAGTGAAAATCAATTGGGAAGGACACTTACAATATAAAATATGTAATAAAAAAATAGCGAAAAAACAAACGTAAATAGCGATAAACAATAAAACAAAACCAATATAAAATAAATGCAAAGCAAAAAGAAATGAAAAACAAACTAATCTTAATGTTTAAGTAAGTAGATGTGTGATAAATGCTTTTAAATTTTTAAACTAATACTATGTAATATTAAAAAATATTAATAAATAAAATTGTAAACAGAATTATTAATATTAAACGATACTATTTAAAATTAAAACTATACTTATAATTAATTAATATTAATTGAATTAATTGCAGTGCGTATGAAAACTATGAAATATATACATACATATATACTATACATTTAAAATATAGTTACGACGTAAACAAAATGCAGAATACAATACTACAAAGGAAATAAAAGAAATTTTAAATGAAAAGAAAACATTGAATTTGCAAATATGTAAATGCTATAGGTGTAGCTGCGGGGGGAGTGGAAAAACAATTTAAAAATATGAAGAAGGCTGATTAAAAAATACGGCGTGCAATTGATTTATTGATTTATTTATTTTTTATTTTTTTTTGCTTAGAACGAAATTATTTTTACAATTTTAAAGTATTTAAAGTTGAGCTTCGTGAATTTTAATTACTTTTTTAGAAATATTAGTGTACATATGAGCATACATATGTTTTGAAAAATACTATAAATATTTGTATTGTGCCTGCGTTTCTTTTAACACAGTTATAGATAAAGAACGTGCAATTAACAAGAAATTAGTTTTTGTAGGTTAGAATGTGCAGAAGAGACTAGAGGTTGGTATATATTTTTTTCAATTTCTCAATTTAATTTTTTATATTTTATTTACTAGTTTCTTTATTTATATACATTAATTTTTTATTTTGTTGCTAGCTTATACTCAATATTTCCTATTTCAAATACGAAAGAATGTATATATGTACAGTTTTTACAACACATGTAATTTTTTTTGTTTAAGTTTTGTAATAATATTATTTTCTTCAATATTTATTTTCGTTTTTTATACCTTATGTAATATGTTTTACTAATTATGTAATATTTTTATACCAGTATTATATGTTCAGTTTATAACACCGAAAGTAGACGTCGAAGAACCTATAAAGTACATATGTATATATGTACATACATAAACGATTAGAGGGACGAACTAAGTCCATTTAGTCTATCGAATCTTTTCATGTGTCTATCTTTAATTTATGAGACATCGATCTGAAATTTTGCACACGTAATTTTCTCCCAAAAAGCTGCTCAGTTGTCGGAACCACCGATATCGGACCACTATAGCACATAGCTGCCATACAAACTGAACGTTTGGAATCAAGTTCTTATATGGAAAACTATTTCATTCAGCAAGATATCTTCATAAAATTTGGCATAGATTATTTACTTAGGCAAAGCTACAATATCTGAAGAAATTTTTAGATTGGAGCACTAATAGCACGTAGCTGCCAGACAAAGTGAATGATCGGAACCAAGTGATTGTATGGAAAACTTTTTCATTTGACGAGCTATCTTCACGAGATTTAGTAAAGCAACCATAAAATTTCCGAAAAAATTATTCGGATCGGACCACTATAGCATATAGCTGCGATACAAACTGAACGATACAAGAGCAAGGTCTTGTATGGAAAACTTTTTTATTCAACAAGGTATATTCACGAAATTTGGCATGAATTATTATCCAAGGCAATGCAACAATCTCTGAACAAATTTTTCAAAACGGCTCACTGTAGCATATAGCTGCCATACAAATTGACCGATAAATATTAATCTTTTGTAGCGAAAATTTTTCGGTTCAACCGAAGTTAACGTTTTTTATTTGTTTATTTCAAATATGATAATTTTTTTGTTTTACAGAACATACAATGTGTTTTGTTATTAGTTCTAAATTATAATATTTTCTTCAATTTTTATCTCTCATACCTTATGTAATATTTTTTTACTATTTAACTAATATATTTTTATATTTCCCTCTTATTTACGTAATATTTAATTAAATTCTAGATAAAATCTAACTTCTGTACACTTTTCATTTTCTTTGCTGTTTATTTCATTTTATATTATATGAATTCATTCCACCGCAAAATTGTTTATATATATTTTAATGTGGTTATATAATATATGCTTTCAAATCATGTTTCTTATTTAATAGTGCTTTATTTTTCAAGATTTTAGTTGTTTTTATAACTATTATTTTATTTTTTTATTAATTTGTTTTTTTCTGATATTTGTATATAATACATTTATTTATTGCATGCTTTTTTTAGCGCAATTTTATTACAATACTACATAATTTAATTTAAGTTTACAATACAATTGTTTTTAACTTTTCTAAAAGATTGATATATTTTTATTGTTATTATTATTCTAATTTCTTTTTCATTAAAAATAACTTTATGAAAAGCGAAAAATAATATTATTTTTAATTTTCTTTCCTTATTTAGAATTTCAACATTTTTGTGTTTCAATGCAAAACAATTGTAAATACAAGTATGTATGTAACTATGCATGTCCTTCGTATTTGGCAGAAGCAGCGAGAAATAAAATTAATTACAAAAAAAAAATTTAAGCAAAGCAGCCCCTTTTTTATATTAGTCTGTGATGTTATAAAATAAAAGCTAAATAAGTGTTTAAAAAAAATTATAAGAATATGTAACAATTTCAAAATTATCATGAAAGCATAAACGCGATATTGCTAAAAGCACAGTTAAGTAAAAAGCTAAGAAACGAAAATGAAAAAGAAAATGATAAAATTTGAAACAGCACTGGGAATTGGCTGTAAATGTTGGATAAAACGGTAAAAAATGCTTAACGACAATTTGTGAGAATCGGTATGATGATTTTTGAGATAAATAAGAAATAAGAAAAAGCAACAACAAAATAAAACACATAACTTTAGTTATTAAATCAGAACCAATTAGGCAACGATAATTTCAAAAAACCAAAACCAACATGAATGAAATAATATTGAACAACAAAATGACGAAGCGGGTTGAGAAAATCAACAAAATGAACAGTTAAAACTGTATGCATTTTTATTGCATGGCAATTTAATAAAACGGTACAAATGAAAGTCACAAAAAAGCAAGATCTGTATAAAACAATAAAATTTTGGCAACAAATAACGGTTTAAAGTACATAAGTGCATACACACATTTTATTTGAACACACACAATATATTTGATCAAAGCATAACTGTTGTTGTTGACATTTACACCAAAAAATTTTAACTGAAAAATACAAAATAAAATGCAAAAATGTTTTAATTGTGGCAATAGAAAAAAACAACAATATTGTAAGACAAAATTAATATCTAAAATAAGAAAAGTGAAACAGTTATTTATGTATGTATAACCAAATCCCGTTCTCTCAATTTTTGCTAAGAGTACAGCAGAAACCATATTTTCTTGATGACTTTTTAAATCACCAAAAAACAAAAACCCAAATGAAATACCAAATTTAATGTGAAAATATTCAAAAAATATATACATACATATAAATTAATATGGTACATACATAAATACTAACAATGAGCATAAGAAAATGTGTAGCACCGAAATTAGTGTTGATATGTTAAGTGTCGTTAAGCTGTTAGTAAAAAAAATGGTAATTCACAAATCTTAATAGTTTCAGTAATGATTTTCGTTGAGTGCATATACATATATACATATAATATGTGTATGTATATAAGCACATACAAGTAGATACTTCAAAGAGTTTGCAAATAAGAATGTTCATCTATTTTCCTATAATACATACAAACTTATACATACATACCATATATAGCTACTAACGATACAAATAAATATGAAGAAGAGAAGTGAATAGAAGAAGAATACATAAGTACAAGCAGCATAGGTGTATAGGTTATAGTTTTTTTTAAATATTATTTTGTTTAGTGATGCATATTTATACTTTTTCGTTGACACATTTTTTTTTTTAAGTTATTCGATTGGTATAAGTGGTTAGGCGTAGTCAGAGACATGAAAATATTACAATTTTAAATATATATTTTTGGCAGTCAATTATTTTATTTTATAAAAGTAAAAATATGGTATCATTAAATAAGAGTTCGACTTGACTTGACAGAAATAAAGAAAAAAAAGTAATAATATTGAAAGTACTGGCTTTTTGTGTTGATCTAGTTCCAATCGAAGCTCTTTGCGGTGACCACCACTAATCCTTTTAGAATCATCTAAAGTCAATCGGACAAAAAACAAATCGTTTTATTAATAGATAATCTAAAAGAAAGCCAACAGTTAATTGTTTGTAAGAAATCGAAATCAAAAAAAATTCCTTCACCATGTTACAAAAACTTTAATTTTTTCAGGAAGTTGTACCAATTTCATAAAAATCTACGCAGCGGGTTCAAGCTATAGTGGTCACCAGTTCAAAAAACATTATTTTGAGAAAAAAGCATTTGTAGATTAACAAGAACGTTCCAAAGCACCCGAGAACCCTATACTAACTGTCGAATAACTCGAAAAGACTTACCTAAAATTTTCAGAGAATATTTCTAAGAAATTATACTTTAAGAAAGTGCAAAAAAAAATTTCAAATTCTGACTACCCTTAACCTCTTAACACTTTATTTAAAATTTTTGATTTGCTATGTTAGTTTAAGTATAAATATTTATATGTTAATTTATTTTATTTGAATATTACTATTAGTATTTTTTTAATATTATTTTTTTATAACTTATTTTGTATTATTTAATTTTCAAAATCCTCTATATATAATTGTTATTTTTCCTTGTTTTTTTTTTTTAATTCATTTTTTATATTTAACATCTAATTTATTATTATTATATAATACAATTTGAACAAAAACAGTTTTAATTATAAATTATAATACAAATGATTATTATGGAACTATATTTTGATAAGTAATCGGATATATTAGTATTATTATATAACGTATAAAAATAAAATATTATTATATATTTTTTTTAATGTTTTTTTGTTTTGTGTTTGGTG